CATATTTCGTGTAAATATTTCCTAATTAAACTTCCAACTTCAGTAAAGCAAAAGTAGTAATCACATCTCCACATATCAAGGAACACAGCCTCACACTTAGTAGTTTTTATTAGATTATTATATACCAATCAATAAATACATGAATAAATGAATGTATATGCAGCTATGCTATATTTTCTTTGGAGTTTCAATTATTCAGGGATTATATTTACATAACTAACGGGGGTTATCTCTTCTTTAGTTGGGCATTCAATTAATGCAAGAATAAAGAAGAAATGAATTCAGAGAAGTAAAGAGGTTTTCACGTCTAGCCACAGTCACACCGAGGAGAATCTCCCTAGATGTTCCTGACATCTCCATTTCTCTCCCCCACTCACTCCTCTTGCACCAAGCTCATTTCTGTGCACTGTAACAAGACGGCGTAACATTTGTTTTTGTTTTTTTTTTCTGCCTTACCTTCTAAAGGACTTCATTTTTCTCTTGCTGAGTCAAAGGCAGCTATTTTCAATCTGACTAGGCTGACTGCTCATCTAGCCCCACTCAATCATGGGTCCAGCCCAGGGAAAGCAGGGTGCTCACCGCATCATGTGCTGTGTTTCATCTAGTTTATTTCTATACTGGGTTCTACCCAAAGATCAGGGGGAGTAATCCCCACTTTCATACTCTTTGGTCTGTGGAAAAATAATGGTAAGTCTTGTAAGAGTTTACAGTCTTATAGTTTTGTGTTCTTTTTCCATCTAGGTATCTATTGACAATATAAGGAAGTGTACATGTGTTCACCCTTTCAAATGAAATCTTTCTGTAGTGAATTATGAAACTTTATTTGAATAAACCAAATTATTGTTGTTAGTCTTCATGAATCCAAGCAGTCCTCACCCAAATCATTCAATGCTTTGTCAGAGGTCCAGTTATATGCTGAATAAATATTCATCTGGAATCAGAAGCTTAATCTATGCTTGAAACATTTTCTTAAAGACTTGGCTGTCTCAAGACATTTAAAAAGGGAGGAACCAACATTTTGGAATTATTTCTTGCATTGCCATTCTTGCTATTATTTTTTAAAATTAAGATAAGACTTACATTAACTTTTAAAAATAGAAACTGGATATCAAGAAATTAAAATATACTTCTGACTCTGCTGAATCACTTTGGCAAAGTTGAATAATATCCCTGTTCTTGATTAAGTGTAAAATAGTTGCATTCACTTTATATTTTCTAAAGTCTGTATTAGCTCAAAAATTATTTCATGCATTGAATGAACTTATTATGCATCACATATTTAAAGGATTGAAGGCTTAAGTTAAAATGAATTTATGCAGCCAAATGCTGGCCATTTGTGAGTGCGATGGAATCTGTCATTGCATTGGGGGCCAGGGAGCAAGAAGAGGGTGTGTATCATACCCTGAAAGCAGTTGCATCAAAGAATAACAGCAAATTTCTGTTGTTATGTTGGTTGGTCAATTAAAAAAAATCACATAGAGGCAAATGAAAAGGTCATTGCAATTCTTACACGTTTTCATTGAAAATGTTTTGAAATAACCACTCCCCCTGTGGAAAATTCACAGAGTAAACTGGCGATATGTCCTCGTGGGTAAAGGCTACCTGTGAATCAGAAACAATGCAGTTTTTTTTTTTTTTTTTCATTTGGGGACACTTATTTTAGCTATATGTAACCTGGAGAGAGTTAGAAAAAGAAAAATGTGAATAATATCACTGTGACCATGAGGGTGACTAGACTTTGACACTGAGCTACATCGCTGGAACTTCCAGGACTTAAAAACTATTCTCCTTCCATTGGAGGCTGTGAGACTCTGATACTATCTCCCTGGTAGTCATTGATAGCCCAGTTAGTGCTGATCCATTGGTCTCGTGGGGATGCCTCCTGGCCTGTGCCATCAATGCAATGCAAGGCCCTCTACCGGTAGCCTGTCAGTCTTCTGTCTCCGATTTTGGGTTCTGGGCTTCAGTGGCTGCAGTTAGTAGAAAGAAGGGGTGTCCCCCATGTTTTCTGTGGCTATTACTGCCATTCCCATGAACTACTCAATGTTTTCTCCACATCCCTAGTAAATAGGGTTTAATGGCTCCATTGAGTGTGCCAGAAGACTGGACTGTTACAGCAAGAGTCTGTTCTACTACAATTCAGCTTTCAGAAGTCCCTTCAAGCATCTTATAAATTACATTTTTAGGTAAGTCGCTGTTGTCCCCTTATTTATTTGAAATATTCATCCCTACGTCCTGGCTACAACTCTTTTTCCAGGACTCCTTTGGGTCACCTTGAAAACATCCTGAGGAGTGATCTCTCGTGCTAGAAATTTGAAAATAGATATGCAGAGCAGTCTTCATCCCACCCCCCACTAGTGTTGGGAACACACACATACCGTGTAAGGTAAAACATTTAAAGTACCTCTGGAGCTTGCTAGTCCCACACAGAGCAAGGGAAATGACTGTAATGATTTGTGAGCTTTCTGTAAAACTTCATATTTTTTAAACTCCTGGTAAAGGGCTTCAAATATCTCTTTTCAATCCCTTCGCTTTTGTCCTCTATGAGTTCCTGGTTAAATATAAACTTCCCTTTATTACTCTTCACACTCAAGTCCCAACAGTGAATGCAATTTCCATTTTATAGTGATTATAAAGTATTGTATGTCTATAGATACGTATATGTGTATGGAAAAATAAATCGCTATAGATAGATGGAGAAATGGCATATTTGATACCTCTCTTGCCATACCAAGCTTCTCCTAGGGACATAAGGATAAATTAATCCTTAAAATTTACCTAATTTGCTTATCATGGTGGCTTTTAGGCCTACAGCCCCCTCTACTGGGTGGATTTTCCAGTTTTATTGTGCAAACTTGAGCAGGAAGTCTCTGTCATCCTCTTTTGAGGGCTCTTCAAATCATCTTATTTACTCAAAATTGTATCCTTGTTCTGGCTTATAGAACCCTACATGGATTCAAACTTCTAAAGCATATGAATTCCTGTTAAAAACTAAACTCCACCTTCACACAATCTGAAGATTTGGTGATGATTAAACAGCTATTCTGTTAAGTCAATTAAACAAGGCCATTCAAATGAAGTGTCTCGAATACTCTATCTACCTATGGAAGCAGACCCACCTTCCCAATAACGAAACAGAAACCCAAAGGCAGCTGGTCACCACTGACCACCAGCAATAGCCGCTCTACCATTTCTTACTTTGCTCCTGCCTTTTCTCTGTCAGTGGAACTCTACAAAACACTATGGTTTGGTGCTGCCAGATTCAAATGAATTTTTGCCTAAATACATTTTTAGAAGTTTTAATATGTCCCAGATTATCTTTTTTTTTTAAGATTTATTTATTTATACAAGAACCAGAGTACAGGCCAGATGCATGGGAGTGTGAGAGGATTCATCAGAGACAGAGTGGGGAGCAGAATAGGCAGATCTACTGAAATACACTGCTGAGGGGAGTAGCGAGCAAGACAGGAGAGGTCTGCTGAGCCATGTGGAACCCTCACCAGCCAGCCGGAATGGAACTGGCGCTGCAGAGGCTGCAGACAGCTTCACAGCGTGCGCTCAAATGCCTGCGCCACCAGGGGAGGCCCTGCCCCAGTTTATCTTTTAACAATTCTCAAAATTATGGTACCTTTATTTGCCTTTTCTCCTATGGATATCTGATATCATTAGCCCATGAGATCCTCTAGGGACTAAAGCTCATTGATTGATGGTTTAACACAAAGAATCAGATGTATATAATGTTCACCCTACTAGGATCTGTAGCTTCTCATAAAGATGAGAGGTGTTTTGTTTGATGTTTCCCACTTTACTTTTGAGTATGCTTTTAAAAAGCTCAAACAGTGAACAATTAACAAACAGCACAATAGAATACATTAATTAGATGACTTCAATCATTTGTTTATTAAAACTACTTCATGGACCAAAATATTCATTTCTTAGAAAGAGGAAATCTAAACTTTCTAAACTTTTCCCAGACACTGAAGTCAGCATAGTATGATCTAAGAAAAGTCTTGATAATGATGTTCTCTGAAATTTTGACCTGCTAGAGCAATGTAGTTTCTGCCAACTCTTGTAAGAGGGAGAAAGAAAACTCTATTCATAGTTCTCAGAGGTAAACATGAGCTTCCTGAGTGAGAGAGCTATCAGTGCTGGAAGGCTTTTGCAGGGGAAGGAAGTTTAGTAAATGAAGATAGTGGGGGAGCCTTGACTTTTTAGAGAGAGTATTTACTTCTCCCTCAGAGGATGAGAGCTAAGTGCATGGGTGAATTGGTGTTGGGAATTTTACGGGGACTGCACCTAAGAGGAGAAAGCATACATTGTACAAAAATGAACAATTACATGCAATACAAATAAATAACCAGAACTAAAATCAACAAACATAGAAATTAAAAGTAATGTTCAATTTCATTCGGTCTTTTGGGTAACATTAAATTGAGTATGTCAACATTGTAAATGTGAGTGCATGATACACACACAAACACAATTGTGCAGTGAATTAACCAGGCAAAATACATACACACAGAGATAATATAAACCACACAATATTATAAAACTGCCATAAACCAACCCATTTTAAACTGGGCCACAGACACCATTGAGAAAAACCACTTTTCCATCTTGTATGAGCTGGTTCTAAGACTTTTGGGCTGGGCCAGTTGGCAATTGTTTGACAAACTGTCATTTGAGAAAGGAGGAGGAGAAATTCTACTCAGAATGTGAGGACTGATGGTTGTGCACTTTGGTGAGAGGACAGAAGCTATAACCATCATGAGCAGCTGAGAATAGTTTAAGCTTGTTAACACGTTTAACTCTTCTGACTTCATCTTCCTGAAATAAAAAATTCCTATTTTGCATCTGTCCTTGGGAATGTGTTAAGGTCTACCTAAATCTGTGTATCCCTAATTGCAATTATTTGATTCCAAATGAAGGGTACTTTGCATTTTGAATAGCACTTGAATTTTTACATTAACGATATCAATTATGTTTTTCAGATATTTGTTAACAAAAATGGAGTCAATTATCAGCATCAAGTATCATCCTCACCCTAGTTGACATTTACCGGCCATTCTCTTACAGAAAGAAATCCCAACTGTTTGAGGTATTGGGAAGTAAATTTCAGCAGTGCCATTAAGTGGATGACAGTACATAAGAAAACAGAAGTTTCAAACAAGGTTGCTGTGGTACCAATTGCAAAGGGGCTGACGCTTGAATGTATTGGCCCATAGACCAGACCCAAGTTTATAGAAAGAGTGGTCTTACTACTTGTGATAAGTAAGGAGGTAGGAAGGTAGAGCTCTAAAGACTACATCCCAGGTAGAAAATTTGAAGTCTTTTTAAAAGGGGGAAGAGCAAAAGTAGAACAAAGAAGCCTCAGTGAATGGATGCTGGTGTGCTGGTGCTGGACAGCATTCAGGCACATGCGCAGGCGTGTTTAGAAAATGGCCGATCAATACCTTCCCCGTGTGGAGGTGTTACAATGCTAAGGAGGCCAGTACCTATTTTAGGTCCTCAGGAACTGGACATCCCTAGTATCCTGCTTTGTTATCGGACTGCTCAAACCAGACAGATGTGGTTGGAACCTGGTTAGCAAGATAAGTTGCTAAAGCAAAGCAATTCAGCGCTTTAAATTCCTTGCTGGGAATAAATCAAACACTTTACTTTCTTGACCAGTTGCTTCCTGGTTCTCTAGGGCCTGGTTTGATGACACATAGTGCGTGAACTAGTTACAGACCAACTCCATGGGCTGTGTGTGTTGTAGTTTTTCAAGTCTCTGCAAATAGGCAAGAAAAAAAAAAAAATCTGTCTCTATCAAATTTTGTTGGCACCTTGTTTGATTCCAAGTTGGGTGCTCCTTAAACTCCGTAGCTTATATCTGTTTGCTCTTGAATTGTTACGAAACAGGAGCTACATCTGAATAACCCTTACATATATATATATATATATATATATATATATATACACACACTATATATATATAAATGTTTCAAGAATAAAGTATTGTGCACCGGTCACGTAGGCAGTCTTAAACAGACAAAATACACATCTCTTTAGGGATTAATGATTGGCATTGAAATATATACAGAATCAGGGTAGAGGTGTTTCAATCTTTATTCTTTTCTAACTTTTTGTTTAGAATTAGAATTCTTGTCGTTAAGGACACTGTCCTGGGGATGACTATGAAAGCATGCCATGTACAGTGCCAGGACCAAAGCCTGAATATCCATGTCCTGTGCTGATTACCTCTGGGCAAAGTGGTTCTTTTGCTTATCAAAGTTAACCTTCTGGAAGAGCGCCAAAGGTAATTGTCCTGTATTTGACAAGGACTGAGAGCTTATAGTTCATCTCTATGTAAGAGGAACAGTGTTTTAAACCGAGGGATTGAAATTTTGATGCTGGAATTTCATGACTTCTTAGAGAGTGTGTTTGAAGTGTATGCCTCCAGAATATGCGTTCTTTCTGGTCCCTTCTCCGTATAGTTCCTGCTTCCTATTATAAAAACATCTGTCAATATTGTAGATGACAAAATTTGAATCCTGGTTCAGTCATTTTCTAGAAACATGCTTTTGAGCAAATTATTTACCCTACTTCGGAACTTCACCTTGCTCATCTGTAAAATTAGTAAGGACTGATGAAGAACTATATAATATAGATATTATATCTGGCCCCCCTGATGTTAGTCTTTCTGCATGCATGGCAAGCATTTTTTTTCCAGAAATAAATTGAGTGTTTCTTATCTCTAACCTGCAGCCAGAAAAAACATATTCATCTACCTGTGTGTACCGTTTGCAACACATTTCACACAGACTAACTTGAGAAATGCAAAGTGATTAAGGTTGGGGTAGTAGGCATGACTTTAAATACTAATGACATAAAGAGAAGAGGCTTATAATTAGATGACTATAGTAGAATTATCATGCAATTAAACTGTAACTTGAATATTACTTAGAGAGCTACTGATAAGTGGTGTGATAGGAGCAAGACAAGTTTACAAGTCAATGACAGATAAAGGGATAAGGGGTAAAACAAGAAAACTACAAAGAGAGGGGGAAAAATCTAAGGCTCCTGAGATTTGGGGAGCAGTGAGGACAGAGCAGATTTCAATATAAAATCTTGCTAATATGATAGTTGAGCTTCTAGGAAACAGGAAACTAGGCCTGGGGGTGTTAGCTTGGTTTTGAAGAGTACATTTCCAACTGAGTGGGCTATGAGGAAAATGCAAGGATGGACTTTGCTTTTCTACTTGCTCAGACTGTTGTAAAAAAAAAAAAAAAAAATGATCTTCCAGGCACTTCTGGCTCAGTTAGTGCAAAGGCAAAACAAAGTGACAGTGATGGTTACACATTTCAGTCTGGGAGAGCATTTCTGTCATAGAGCACCCATTCATTTTGATGCAGTATTTTTCGTCTTTTTTCTTCTCACATGAATTCCTGCCAGCTTACAGCATGAAGGCTTCTCCTAGGAGAAAGCCAGGAGGCAGGTGATTCTGCATGTTTGCTCTTTAGATTGACCTTTGTTAGAGATGATTTGACATTTTCTTTATTTCTGAGTCCCGAATTAAGTCTTGGTACCTCATCAGTCTTTTTTCGAAACTATGTATATCATCTTTTATTTTTCACATTAAACATAGATGGTAAATCTTTATGCTAAGGCTCTGATCTCTGGGTTCCTTACTGTTCTCTTTCATGGGGGAGCACATCAAGAAATTATCAACAATGGATATTGTAGATATTTTTCAGTCACTGGAGTATGCATTTTCTAATCTTAGGCAAAGAAAAAATCAGATGAAACCAGTTATTTTATCATGGAGGGATTTGCTTGGCTTGCAATCTGCACTTTAATTGCCAGTTGATTATGGATTTTGGGGTAGGTTATGACTTGAAAGCTGACACAGAATAGACAGTAATATTACTGTCCACTTTGCGGCAAGTGAAGACCAGAATGGGGGATGATTAATTTTCTTAGGGCTATGTTATTAGTTACCATGGTCTCCTTTTCTTTTCAGAGAATAGCCATGGTGTATGTGCCCAATTATCCCAAGAGACTATGGGCATATGTAGTGAACAGTGTCCAGGAATAAGGGAAGCTGGTATAGTATGAAAGCTCTAGGGAAGCAATCTTCAGGACAAAAGACTTGTTTTGTTTTGTTTTTTTAGATAGAGGATATTTGCTGGAGAGTACTGAACCTGATCAGTATATGGTGAGTGGAAACAGCATTGTTTTTCTGGAAGAAGTGCCCCAGGTAAATAGACAGAAACTTTAGTCTCCTAAGACTAGGTCTGCTACCAGTGAGGATCAGATCTCTGGCTGGAACCTTAGCCTAAGTGTGGGCAGAATCATTGAGATTTCACTGAGCTACGTTCTTTCCCATACAGAGATTATCCTGGTGCCAGATTTGAGCATTGGGAATTGGGAAAGATCAGTTGTGTCACATTTTATATTCTGTGTCTTGAGTTGGAAACTTTTCTTCAGCTGACAATTTTCCGGAATCAATTTGTAGTCCTAGAAAGCGAGAAGCAAAATCATACCGCTTGATCAGGTTTTTACTTTGCATTTTCTCTGACTTTTCTAGCCACAGTTTGGGCAGCCTGCTTTCATGTTTGAATGATGCTGGCTACTCACAGCTTTCTCCAAAGAATTCTGTGGAGTTAGGGTGTAGGTGCTTGCATTTTACCAGCGCCCTGCTGATGATTAAAGAAATAATAAATGCGTGTGAAGTGAGGGCATGAACACATGAATGACTTCTATGTTGAAAAGCACTACTGCTGAATCTCCTCCTTGAAAATACAAAAAAAAAAAAAAAATAAGGTGACTTTCTTAGATTCAAACAAAATCTCCTGCCTTGATACATTTGTTCATTAAACAAACATGTTTTAGGTGCTAAGAAGAATGAAGAGGTAGATGAATACAGGGGGATTGCACATTTGAATGGAGTTTTGGAGTAAATATGATGAAGAATAAAGTAAGCTCTCACAAGCAATCATGGACTAGCGAAAGACACAATGAGGTAAACAGAGTTCATTTTATTTATGTTTTAATTTTTAAAATTTTTTTTGTGGGCCCCTCGCCAGCGGCCGGGGAACGAACCGGCACTGCAGAGGCTGCCGGCAGCCTCGCAGCCCAGCACTCAACTGCTGCGCCACCAGGGGAGGCCCCAGAGTTCATTTTAAATGCATTATTATAATGAAAGTACACCCGTAGTGCTACGTGAGCACAGAGTAGAGTACATCAATTGGGGAATTTGGGAAGGTGCTAAGTGGAGTCCTAGCTTTGATTTTATTTTTTTTAATTTTATTTTTACATTCCCCATACAATTGCAACCCCCTTATGCCTCCCTGGTGGCACAGGCAGTTGAGCGCCACACTGTGAAGCTGTCCGCAGCCGCTGCAGGGCGGGTTCAATCCCTGCCGGCCGGTGAGAATCCCACATGGCGAAGCAGACCTCTCCTGTCTTGCCCGCCGCTCCCCTCAGCTGTGTATTTCTTCAGTCTGTCTGTTCTGTTCCCCACTCCATCTCCGGTGAATCCTCTCACCCTCCCATGCATCTGGCCTGTATCCTTGTTCTTGTATAAAAAATAAATCTTAAAAAAAGAAAAAAATAAAAGAAGCTAACTTGTTAGAGATGGGGCTTTGGGGCAGAGAAATAAGATGGGCAGAAAGAGAACCACACGAGGGTTCTATGTTCATTTGACACTGAACCATATCAAATGAATGAATGAATGAAGAAAAATCTGCTTTGTATGGTTTATTAATTTTCCAGTGATCCTCTGCTGCATGTACATAGTCATAAGAAAATTCTTTCAAGAGTATTTCCCTATTTATAGCCATTTGGGAAAGTGAGGAATTATGTTCACCAGCCTGGAAAACTACACCCAGAGTTTTCATTAACATCTGTGTATCAACCCCTATACTTTAAATATCTAGATTCCTGCCTACAGTCACTATACCCCAGTATTAATGCTGGCAAATACAAGCCAAGCACTCTTCGGGAAATAAAATATTTACCCTGTACATGACCATAAACAAAACTATTGGAACAGTGCTCCATTTTAATAACCATTGTGAACACAAATGTGATAAGATAAAGGGTATAGTTTTTCCAGAACATAAATATATACTCATGGTAATCAGAGGAAATGTGGGGAGAAACTGGTCCAGCTAGGGTCTCCCCAAGGAGAAGCTTCATAGTAAGAGGCTATGATTTGCATTTGATTATATTTTCCCTTTCTCAGTGTATATCAGTGGTGCCTGTTGTCAGATACTCTAACAACAATTTTATCATTGACCCCAGCATAGACCTTGGGGATGGGAAATCTTGACAAAAGAGGAGTTATGACCCCTCACTATCCTTTTAATATATATCATCTATTATCTGCTGCTTCTGAATTCAGAATGGACGCTGAAGAAGAATAAGAATTTTTTTAAGTTCATGTTGGGCTTTAATCCAGAGCTGAAGTAAAAGCCTCCGTAAATCCATGTCATGACTATGCCTCTACAATGCTCTGCCATCGTGGGAGATTGTTGAAAGGGGTCCTGGCCATGTAAACCTGCTCTTGTCTTTGAACCTCAATTTGTATTTCCTTAAGTCACAGTTTCAGAATGTCATACTTTTATTCATGTTGTTCCCTCTTGGAAAACTCCTATGCATACTGCAAAACCTGAATCATAGCATCATAGAAAAAAAAAAAAAACAAACCTGAACTTCCCCACCCACATGGAATATTATTGCTGCAGGTATGTGTGGTAAGTGAAGGCTAGGCGGTGTTTGCATTGTGAACTGCTGTAACTCCTGCACCTATCACAGTTCTGGCACAGAAGAATGATCAAAGCACTTATTGAATGAATGAATAATCAGTGGTGAACCTCTTCCAAAGCATGGGGATTTTAAACTTGCTTTTGAAAATAAGTTGTCTTGCTTTCCCTTCTTGGCTAGGCTGAGACCATATTCAGACACAGGAGTGTTTGGTGGAGTTCCCCAAACACTGCCTGATTTATTCCCTGTTCCCTGATTTATTATGTTTGCACTGACTCAGGCAGCTGAGCTCTCCCCATTGACATATTGCTGAGGCCCAGGAGGACTGCATTGCATAACCACCTGCCTTCCACCCCTCCCTGTTCCTGGTTTTAAGTAATACTAGTGAGATGAAATATGGCCACTTTCAAAATGGTCAGAGTAAAGGAGCAAAGCCTTGTGTGATAGGGAGAGATCTTTCCTTAGCAACATATGAAAGCAAGAACAAAAACAAAAGCCAAAGATCCACTCAACACGAGCAGGCACTCACTGGAGTGTGTTCTGTGAAGGGTAACAAGCTGGCTGACCTTGCGGACTGACACAGGCCTGGGTGGTTGTATGGGCAAATGTCCCAGACCGGGCGGGTTCACAGTTGATTCAGGCAAACAGACAAGAATCTTTGAGCCCTCGATAGATTTGATAGGCCTTTAATGCTGAAGCAGGGGAAGGGATCCAAGGTAGACCAGTGGGCAGGGAGGCAGGGAGGCTGAGGCAGGTAGCAAAAGTAAGACAAGGAAGGCAAGTCTCCAGACCATAGAGAAAGTAATAAAGCTGTTCCCCAGGAAGGGGCTAAGTCTGCAGGCAAACTCTGCAGCAGGCAGACAGCAGGTAGGCACAGATTATCCCCTGGGGAGGGGTGTGTAAAGGTCAGGAATGACACAGAGCAGGTTTTCTAATATCCAGCAGACCGGGTAAAGGAAGAGTCAGAGTCCTCAGTGGTTTTGCAGGTTTTTATTGGGATTACCAGGTACACAGCAGGCAGGAGCGCTGGGGGGCCGGGAGGCTGGCAGGCCTCTCAGCCCCCAGCAGGTCTTCACTCTGAGCTCTCTGGCCTTCTCTTGGCTTCTCTTCAGCTTCTGCTGCTGCTGGCATCCCTGTGATGCGCCCTTAAAAGCCCAGTCTCAGCCCAGGTGAATCCCATCTACCTATGCCCACACCCTATTCCAGGTGCCCGCCATCAGGCATGCATTCAGGACTGCGACGATCTACCATCTATCCTGATGGCAGGAGGGCAGAAAAGCCTGACATTTTTCCTTACCTTACAGGGTGGCACACACATATCTGTGCAGAGACAAAGTCAGAGACAGAGACCAAAATCCAGAGACCTCCAGTGCAAGGTGAACCACTGGGACTTTACCCAACACAAATCAGACTCCAATCTGGTTTGGTCTCTAATCCAAGTCTTTGCAAGTGAGATGGGTTTTTCTCAGTGATGCGGAATATGTGCTCAGTTGCTATTTTGCTTGAAGACCGAGTCCTTTGTGCCTTCCTCCCTCATGATCCTCACTTATCTAGGAACAAACACCATCAGCTGCTACAACCTGAATCTTCTCTTTAATTGCCAAGTCAGTTCTAGTCCTGAGTACCTGGAGAGAACCCACAGTTTTCGTTTGCGAGTTTGTTCTTCTGGCAAGCTCAGAGCTGGCCATGCAGATCTGGACTGGGTCCTGAGCATGGAGACTGCATTTTATTTATTTATTTAATTTTTTTTTTAAAGATTTATTTATTTATTTATACAAGCACTGGGTACAGTCAGAAGCGCGGGAGGGTGAGAGAATTCACCAGAGCCAGAGCAGGGAGCAGAACAGATAGAAGGACCAAAGTACACTGCTGAGGGGAGCAGTGGGCGGCAGGAGAGGTCTGCGCGCCATGTGGGACCCTCCTCCGGTGGCCTGGGAGCAGCCGGGGATCGAACTGGCGCTGCAGAGACTGCGGGCAGCTTTGCAACCCAGCGCTCAACAGCTGCGCCACCGGGGAGGCCCGAGACTGCATTTTAAACCCAGTTTTGCTGAAAGGAATCAGGGACACAGGTTTATTCCTTATGAAGTTATTGACAGGAAAAGTTTCTTGAGCCAACATGGAAATTCTACCCTGACACCTGCCTCTGCAGAATCTCCTCATGCTAATTCACACGCAGCTGAGAAGTGCACATTCCGAAACGCGTTTTGCAATCTGTGGTGTCGTGTGAAATATTATTAAGCGTGTATTATTACCTCAGTAGAGCTCAGTGGCGGTTTAGCTATTAGAGAATTTCACAGCATATATAATATTATCAAAATGAATCAATACCTTAACCTCGGGGCTGATTCCTCAATTACTGTAACTACCAGTTGCTAATTGGAATGCTTTTTACACTCTGCTCTCCCTTTAGACCGGCTGCGCTGCCCATGTGAATGCAACCAAGGAGCACAAATAAATTGAGCATGAACAATTAGACTATTCAGCTTTGGGTGATCTAAAGGGAGATGTGAAATGCCATTTGTAGGGTAAAGAAAATATCAGGCTTTTCTGCCCTTCCGCCATCAGGATAGATGATGGATCCTTGTCCTGAATGCATGCCTGATGGCGGGCACCTGGAGTAGGGTGTGGGCATAGGTAGATGGGATTCAGCTGAGCTAAGACTGTGCTTTTAAGGGCGGCGTCACGGGGGGACGCAGCAGCAGCAGCAGCAGCAGCAGCAGCAGCAGCAGCAGCAGCAGCAGCAGCCGCAGCCGAAGCCGCAGCCGAAGCCGAGAAGCAGCAGAACGAACGCTAGAGAGCCCAGATAGAGTGAGGACTTGCTGGGGGCTGGGAGGCCTGCCAGCCTCCCAGCCCCCCAGCCAGCACCCCTGCCTGCCATATACCCGCTGAACCCCAATAAAAGACCTGCAAAACCACTGAGGACTCTGACTCCTCCTTTACCCGATCTGCATGGGATCAGAAAACCTGCACTGTGCCCGGTCCGGCCTTTACAATTGGCGTATGTCGGCAGGATCCATGCAGACGGGTATTGGAGCCCTCCGAAGACCTGGAGGGACTAAGGAGAACAGACTTTGCCTGTGACGACGCTGGAGGCACCATGGCAGTATAGAAGATGGATACGTCCACGAGCTACAGGATGAGACCTGGCGTGAAGGAGACGCCCGAAAGGACCAGCCAAAGACACCGGAAAGGACCAGCCAACGACACCGGATAGGACCAGCCAACGACACCGGAAAGGACCAGCCAATGACCCCTGAGGCAGCAGGCCATTGCTGAAGCAGGGAGAGGCCAATGGACTGATAGACTGATTAACTGATGATTTTGGACTGACAATCCCGCCAGAAGGCGGAGGACCTTAGCAGGTTATGTTTATTTTTTGAGAATCTGGGGGTGGCCAGTGGGCCTAGATGGCCAAAAGCAGCCTGTGTATGCCCAGTGGCCAGGTGGAGGAGAAAAGCCAACTAAGGTGGCAAAAGCTGGTACTGATGCTAAGTTGAGAAGCCCTAAAGCGGCTGTTAAGCAGCCTGGGTATGCTGAAGCCCTGTGAGTCTCGTAAAATCACCTATGGGTGATGCCCTGCTCATTCTTGAGTGAGGGTGAGGAGCTGAGGAGCCCGTCCTTGGGGGACGGGTGGGGAATGTGGCTTGGGGTGGAGCCCAAGCCAAATGCAAAGTTTGGATCCCCAACCCATGTGCTTGTGCAGTGGGTTGGCTTGAGAGCAGGGGTCTGTGAGTCGCATGGGTGGCCATGAAGGCCGAGTGTTGGAGCGACGGCAGACAGAAACCCTGAGGGTTGGCGATTACCCCCAACAGAATAAAATTGCCAATCCCAGAGCTAGTGCATCCTGGGGGTGGATGCTGTGTGCCTTGTAGCCTAGACGACAGCCAGAGAAGGCCAGGAAGCCTGACGGCTCCTGGTATGTTATAGTAGATGCCGTGAGTGATTCCCCTCCCTCATATGAGCAGTGCCTTCGGCAGCAGATTTGGTGGCTTATCTGCTGGTACCAATAATTGTCTTTTGCACTTGGTTGGTGCCCTGCCTGGACTTATTTGTGTTCTGTTGTATTTTGTTATGTTGTATTTTGTTATTTGATGTATTTGCTTTTGTGGGCCATGGCTGCATTGTTTGTTTGCTTAGAAAATTGTATAGACTGTATGGCAGAAAACCCTGAGGGGGTGGACTGTAGGGTAAAGAAAATATCAGGCTTTTCTGCCCTTCCGCCATCAGGATAGATGATGGATCCTTGTCCTGAATGCATGCCTGATGGCGGGCACCTGGAGTAGGGTGTGGGCATAGGTAGATGGGATTCAGCTGAGCTAAGACTGTGCTTTTAAGGGCGGCGTCACGGGGGGACGCCAGCAGCACCAGCAGCAGCAGCAGCACCAGCACCAGCAGCAGCCGCAGCCGAAGCCGCAGCCGAAGCCGAGAAGCAGCAGAACGAACGCTAGAGAGCCCAGATAGAGTGAGGACTTGCTGGGGGCTGGGAGGCCTGCCAGCCTCCCAGCCCCCCAGCCAGCACCCCTGCCTGCCATATACCCGCTGAACCCCAATAAAAGACCTGCAAAACCACTGAGGACTCTGACTCCTCCTTTACCCGATCTGCATGGGATCAGAAAACCTGCACTGTGCCCGGTCCGGCCCTTACACCATTACATTGTGTCGTGCTTTGGAATCTCTGGGCTGAGTCGTGACTCGAGTTTACTGAATCTCTAAGTCCTGGCAGGAGTGGGAGAGGGGCTTTCAAAGACCTGCAGCATCAGGAGCACCTCGTGCTTTCAAATGGTAGTGAAGAGTTTTGCCAAGGTGCTTTCCTTGGCATGCAGCAGAGTGGTATCAGCCTCTGGCTTTACCCAATGGGGCTGCCACTTTAGGCCGCACACCTTCGGGGCTGAAGATCTGGCTCTGATCAGCGATTGATGCTTAAATTCTCACTCCTCGGAGAGGGCTCACTTTACACTCTGAGGGGTCAGGTGGTTGTCGCCAAGGATCTCCTGGGATAAAATGTGGCTGGACAAGCGTGGAGACCATGGCTCTCACTTTAGCTTTGGCCTGAGGTCACACTCCATTGAGGAGGTGACACAATCACAGTGACAAAATAACTGAGCTCCATTATATAGAAATAAATCTGGAAGTTTTCAGTGTCCCTCTGAAGCAAAACAAATTAGGGATACTTCACTGACTAATAACTGAATATGTCGATACTGTTTACTTACCTGTTCTTGTTAAGTCAACACTTTTTGGCAGGTGTAGGGTAAGTGATTTTCAGGCTTTTCTGCCCTCCCGCCATTAGGATAGATGAGGGAACCCTGCAGTCCTGAATGCATGCCTGATGGCGGGCACCTGGAGTAGGGTGTGGGCATATGTTGATGGATTCACCTGGGCTAAACTGGGCTTATAAGGGCGGCGTCACAGGGATGCCAGCAGAGCAGAGAAGCAGAACCACGAAAGGAGAAGAGAAGAAATGGTCACGAGAGAAGGCCAGGGAGCCCAGAAAGAGTGAAGACTTGCAGGGGGCTGGGAGGCCTGCCAGCCTCCCGGCTCCCTGGCACCTCTACCTGTCGTGTAGCTGGTAAATCCCAATAAAAGCCTGCAAAAGCCACTGAGGACTCCAGGACTTCTTTACCCCATCTGCTCGAATCATAGAGAACCTGCTCCGTGTCCTCCTGCCGTTACAGCAGGTCACAAAATCACCAGGGGGCTTATATTAAAGCACAGATGAGTAGAAACTAAAATGTCATCAATGAAGATTAACAGACGGGGATAAAGATCTATGCTTTAGTCTTCGATCTTCTTTATCATACTCCTAAGGTAATTAAAACCCAGGGAAATCACTGTTTTCTGGACAGTTATTTGTGCAATGGGCGTGCTAACCTAAGGCGGCAGGTACATGAACAAGTGCAGGGCTTTTGCACTACGGAGGAACCACCTGGAGGTGCTTCCTGGATCTCACCTATTAATACATAGGCAGCATTGGGGAATCTTTTATTTGCCCATATTGAATTATAATATTTTATTATTCAGTTATTTTTAATTGCGGTAATGCTAGGAGGCCTCTCAGCCTAGGATTCTAATTGGACGGTTTAGATGGGGTCAGTGAATTTGCATTCTAACAATTTCCAGGTGATGCAGATCTGAGGTCCATGAGCCACCCTGTGAGTAGCTGTACGTTGATTGGGCAGCATTGGGACGACCGAACTGAAGATCTGCTCCACTGACAGGAAACAGAAGCTAAATAACTCCAGCCAGAGCTATCTGTGCTGGGACAGAGGCCTGCTGTGCTGAATTATCTGGATTCTGGTGAAATCTTCCATGCAGGTAACTTTATTTGCTCTTTTTCTCTTAAAATTCTGCTCATGAAAAATAAGACCCATCAACAGTTAGGTGTGGTCAGAAGGTGAGGAGTTTGAGACACCTGAGCTTGCTCTGTTTACTGCCAGGGGAATGGAGCGTTAATTAGGGGGATGCTGTTAAATGTTGTTTCTAGAAGAGTAAAACCACTGAATTCTAAAAGCCTAGAGAAAAATGTAAACTCTCATGATCTGATTTGCAATCTTTGGCTCTCCAAGGTGTTCTTTCAAAACCCAAATAGGACAAACTGCCCATATTCTGTTCCATGGAAATTCATAAAGGAGTGAGGCAGCAAAGTGCCTGGGGCTTCTCCTGTATCTCAATTAATTACGCTAAACTTACACCTGGGCTCATTATGAGCATGAATGCCTCGATGGGGAATGTTGGCAAAAAATATCGTTATTTTCTATTTTTTTTTTTCTTGCCCTGCTGTTGACAGTAAGGCCAATTAGTGCATCTGGGCTCCATCAGGAAAATGTAAGCTGAAATAAGAGTGACATTCAGAAAAGATTTCTTTTCAAGCTCTCTGTCTTTAGGAAGCCTCGGCTCAGTGACCTTATACTTGGAATTCAGCTTTCAGCTGGTATATCCAGCATTAAAGGTGACAGGGAAAATAAAAGTCTTCCTTCCAAAGATTGTGTGTGCCTTTGGCAAAGGTTATAGATGTGATGTCTTTGAACATCCTTCTTCATGATGGCTCTGTCGCTGGAAATGGGCAGAGAAGAAATCTGCAGTGAGCTAAAGCTGTTTGGAGGGTAATGATTGTCAAATCCTGTAGCTCTTGAATGCAAAAGAACTGTGAGTCTCATATTTACATCTAAATATCCGGTTTACTTACCATTGTGCTTCGTCCCCCTCCCACCTTGTCATATCTTTGTCGATATAGGATAAAAAGGAGAATGTTACATTAAAAAAAAAGTAAAATAACCCAGCTTCAGCTATAGAAATGATTTTTGAGACTGGAAGCAGCTCATTAACTCTTGCTGGTCCCAGACACCCACGCCCCGCCCCCGCCTGCTCACCTTGTGCATTAGCCAGGAATAACAGACGGCAGAAGCATAACATGTGCCCTTTCCAGCCCACTGTCCCTGCCTGAAGGGATCCAGATGTCTCTAAACATAGCTGGTTACAGGTCATTATCATTATTTCAGCAATTATTCATTCACTACCCAGGGTGGGCTGGGAACTAGAGACAGACAAGAAATGACAAAAAAGCACATTTAAACTTACAGTCCTTCAGATAATTTCCTGTGCACCAGCACACTCATCTCTGATGGCTCAGGTCATTTCTGGAATATTCACAGTGCTCCTTTTTACCCATCAGAACCCTATCAAGGAACGCGAACTGTGGCTCTTCCTTGAAAGTCTCCACAGCTACATCGGCTGTTGTTTTGGCATAGTTAGTTACTCCACTAGAATACATGCTAGAATGAGGCTCTCTGGGGTTCAGTTTCTGACACTCCTGCTAATAATGAGTAATATATGCCCTTGAAATTTTTTTTTTCACATTTACAAGCATATTTCTAATTTGCTGTTTTAGACTTGGCATCAGTAACAGCTTCATCTACAGTCCTCTGAATAGCAGGGAAAAGTAGGGAACAACATTCCATAGAAGCCCATGTGATTCCAAGTTAGATTTCACTGAGTCCGTGAGGTCCCAGCATTGCATGATAAGGGGAGTGACGAGAGTCTGGTGCAGTTGCAGGCAGGCAAGTGGGTAGACGTGGATGGTAGCAGCATTATAGGATAGTTGGGAAGCACCCTTAAAGTTGATGCAGGCAGTGAAGCAGTGAAATCTTCCGTAGCTTCATCCCTGTGATTGCTGATGTTTACAGCTCCTTCTGGGTAAACAGCTTTGGTTTTCTACTTTGGAAATTAGCACAAGATTTTCTCATTTTAGAATTCTACAAATGGCTTCCCTGCTTTTCATTTCCTTCGTAAAGAAAGACATTCCAGTGGTCATGCAAATCTCCAAGTCCTGTCTCAAAGTAATTTTACCTGGGCCTTTTTGGAGGGTCTTTATTTTCTTGACCAAATCTCAAGAGACATGCATCCTTACTCCCTCACTAGCAAAAGAGATTAAAATCATGCCCACCCAATCCATCCACTGTGAGATCTGCATAAAACAATGCATGCGAGGTGCCTGGCATGGCACCCAGAGTTCTTGAGAGCTGAATCCTTCTTCATTCCCAGGACCACATGCCCCAGCACTTGGCCCAAAGACTGAGTCTTTGTTACCGAAAGCAAAATCCAACTGTAACTATTTTAATGTGACTCTAAATTTAGTGGAAAGTATCACTAAACATGAATATATAAGTGAAAAAGCTGATTTATTTCAGGAGATTTGCCACTACAGAAAATTGATGTCTTTTATTATCATCTTGAATGACTGGACACACTTGCCTTTCAAGACGCTGATGGCCCCTGGAGGTGGCACTTGGGGGGTGAATGGCTGTCATGGCAATGAGGGTGCTAAGTGCAAATCTCCCTGTGCAAAGTTCCATGTGTAGACACTGGGTGAATAATCAGGATACTCCTCTATACTCTAGTATTGCAATGGCTTTCAAGCCTTACTGGCTCCTTTATTAGATGCCTCATTAACTTGGTCAGAAACAGCACATTCTGGAGCAGTAAATTGGATGACACAGTAAGCTAGAAGCTCCTTGTGAGGGAAAGACTTTATGTTAACTTGAGGAAAAGCAGATAGTAGAGCATGAGTCTGCCACAGCCACGCAGTGATAAAGGGCTAAGAAAAGTCTGACTTGATTCAAGAAGTGATATGCAATGGAAATAACTGCTGGTCTTATTACTGTTTTTTTTTTTTATTTTTACTTTTTTATTTAATTTTTTAAAAGTTTATATGTAGAAGAACTGGGTTATAGGACAAAGATGTGGGGGGGGGTGAGAGGATGCCCCAGAGACAGTGGGGAGCAGAACAGGTGGATTCACTGAAATACACTGCTGAGGGGAGCAGTGACTGGGGCAGGAGAGGTCTGCTGCACCATATGTGGGTTAGCTCCCTGACCGGGGATCGGACTCAGGCTGCAATGGTGATAGCACTGAGACATAACCCCTGGGCCACCAGGGAGGCCCTGGCTTTATTACTGCTACCTCATTTGGAGAGATTGAGTTTCACACTGCTTTGAAATCAAGTGTTAAAGAACAGGAATATTAAAAGGAGCACATTGCTACAGTTGACCTTCTTTACAACTTACTAGTCAAGCTAAACTGCTTAATAGATTTGAGCTCATGTTCTCTGTTCTTCTTGCCAATGGCCTATTATGTTCTTCCTTGTTCTCCTTGTCCCTATATTAGGAATACAATACCACACTGAAGCTGTATATGTAAAAGATGGAATAAATAATAACCTGGAGCTTAGTCAAATTTTCAATGCCCCGAGATCTAGCAGAACAATAACATGGAAAGATAATATGGAAAGGATGGGGGAGAGAAAAGGTGTGTGTGTATCTCTCTCTCTCTCTCTCTCTTTCTCTCTCTCTCTCTCTCTCTTACAACTTAGGGATGCTAATTGAAAAACCATTGGCCCAAAAGTAATTAGGAATTTGAAGCTCTTTATTCAGCAAAAATACGGAGGGCACATGTAAGGTATCAGCACAGTGCACAACATGAATGTTCCGTTTTGTTTACTTCTTTGTCACGAATCTAGACCCTTCACATGGATAAGGGGTGACTTTTATGTGCCATTTGACTAACAGCGGGGTGCCCAGAATACACTTTACTTTGGGGTGTGTCTGTGGGGATGTTTCCACATGAGATAATTATTTAAAATGCTGGGCTCAGCAAAGTAGATCACACTGCCACATGGGTGGACTTCATCCAAGCTCTTGAAGGCAAGAACAGAACACAGAGGTGCAAGGAATCCCCACTTTGTTTCTGCCTCTCTGCTGAAAGTGGAACATTGCATCTCCTCCCGCTCTCCGACGACTGGATTTGTATGCTATTTGTTACCCTGGATCTCAGATTTTCTGAGTCATATGGAATAACCCTGCTGCCTCTCCTGAGTCTCAAGCTTGCAGATGACAGATTGTGGGATGACTCATACTGGAGAACTATGAGCCTTTCCTCATGCTAACACACACATGCCACATTCTCTTTTATTGTAGATAGAACTGGACATACAATCACATAGATACCATTCTAGATGTAGATCTAGATACCCTATTTTGTTTCTCTGAAGATTCCTAAAATACATAACAAATATTTCATTTATGTTTTCACTCCTTCCTATGAAATACATCAATCTCTATTTTACAGGTGAGAGCAGGGACTATAGTTTGTTCAGCACCGCAGAGCTAGTAAATCAAAGAGCTGGTCCTTGAGCCCAGACAATTAGAAATCATAGCTCAGAACATAGTGGTGGCTCCTGTGGTCCCTGTGATTTCAGGGTCACCAGTCCTGGCAGTCATAGACACGCAGAATATGTTCCATACATGAGATAAGAACTGCAAAATGTATGTATCAGGTCCTGTCAGAAAACCCAGGAACACAGGTTTCTGAGCAAGGTGAGAAGGGTTTCCCAGGAGTGACACTGCAGCTGAACTTTGAGCACTGATTAGTTCTTGGCAGCTGTGTCAGGGAGGAATGTGATGCTAGAAAAATATAGAAAATATCAAGAGGGGGTTTGTAAACACCCTTGGTAGCAGATTCAATTACCATCTATCAAACATAAATGGTCCATGCCTTCTGTACCTGTAATTTCACTAACTGCAAAAGGGTAAAAAGAAATTGACAAAAACGTTTATCTGAATTATTGTTTTGAATCAGGAAA